GTACTAAATTAGGATTGAATCTTGCACACTTTAGACATTTCTTAACTGTACTACGAGCAAGATTCCGTCCTCCAATAGGTCAATACTGGTACCTAACAGTTGAGAGTAGAAACTGTGGCTCACAATGTAAAGAAACCTTATGTTCAGACTCTAAAAGTAACTGAGTGAATTTATGATTTGAATTTAACAAAATCGAATGCTTCTGTCCTAGCGGTAAATCTAAATGTTTTAGTTTTCCGCCTACGTGTAATATATTATGAGAATCTAAAAACGCACTTTACCTATACAACTTACTTTTCTTTTTTGTTGATTGATTGATTTTTACTCAAAATGTCAATTTCCTCGTGAAACGACTCCTGCTGACTAAGTTTACTTAACTGCATTTTAGCTAAATCTAATTCAGGTAAAGTTACATAACTAGGAAATAATTAATTTTTATTTTTACATTTGGAACAAAATCTTAAAATAAAAGCCACAACTCTAACCATTCCTAAAAAGTTTGAAAAGCGTTCAAAGGGAAACCAAGCTTTTGAATTTTTATTGGAAAACATTGAAGTTGAAACTGGTGGTTTTAATTCTGGTAAACTTTCTATATTGCTAAAAATTTATTACTGGCCATTGTGAACTACTTAATTGCAACCATTCAGGGCCACATAATCAGACTTAGACTTAATTGACTGGCTAGGGAATAACCCCCTAGAAGCATGGTCAGCCGAGTTGTATTGGGTTGGAACGTATCTCCATTCCGTTTCGTTGGTTAAGCTTTGGATTTCCGGTATCCTATATCCCACGAAAATTTTTAACAAACAGAACTATTTCGAATCCAAGCTAGATTAATTGTCGAATCAGACTAAATGACACGACGTTCAAATTTTATATATAGGGATCTGTCAACTTTAGATTGTATTTCTATATTGCACTTTTCATTTATGTGAATCGTTTTCTTTGTTATACCTGAAACCAATTTAACAACCTTTTGTTTATCAAAACCTAAAATGTTGCAAAGTTTTGTAGTTATATAACAACTCTGAGAGGCTGAATCTAACAATACTCCAGCATTATGGACCACTTTTGGAAAATATTTTTACTAGCGCCGTTGATAAAAATACATTACCTGACCCTGTACTTGAAATACTACTTGTATAAGTTGTGTCCAGTTCTTGTGTGTCAGATTTACTAGACACATGATTTTTATCGGACGAGTTTTCTTTTTCAACATGTAATAGACTATTGTGCCATGCCTTGCATTTCTTGCATGGCCCTAATTTGCACTGGCGAGCGTTATGACCCCATCTTAGACAATTTGCGCATAATGTAGATTTTTTAACAAAGTCTGGCCTTTCTTCAAGGTTTATACTTGTAAATTCAGGACATACTTCAATTTCAAACTGAATTTCCTGAAATCCAGAAAATGCTTTTTCTACTCTCGCAACCCTATCTTGTAATTGAAGAAATTCTGCCTTACTTAATTCTTGTTGGACTTCGAGAGATTCAAGAAATTTTTTAAAGTTAGTGATTGCGGCTTTTGATGAACCTCGTTTTCTCGTTAGAGTCTCAATTTCTGCCATTTCTATATTAGTTGGGTTGGACTAGTATCGTAAAAAACAATCGTAAAAACTTGCATAAAAAGCCCGTCAATTATTTGACACATACAGAGGACAAATACTTGTTTAAATCCTAGACAAGATAGATAGGTATACTATAGGCAATAGGTTAATCTTTAAAAGATTGTATTAAAATGGAACGACTCACCCCGTTCTTGAAGATATTGCTTTTTTGTTTCACGATTATTGCTTTTTGCCGGTAAACTCGATCCGGCTCGAAGGGCCAAATATTTTTTACTTGTTTCACTTGTGTAAACTGTATATACTAGTTATAATTAAAATGTATCGTGTAGTTATCAATAACTATATTTATATAAATTGTTAAAACACGAAAAATTACAAACGTGAACAAATACAAAAAAGGTTGTCTATTTTTTATCTCTAACAAGAACTCTCTTTCTTTTTTTCTATAATCGGCTGATTCTTGCCTACTATCTTCTTTTTTTTGTCAACTGTCTACCGCGCCATAGATAATTCAAGGGAGAGACTGGTAACACTTATGCTTAGTGTCGCGCACAATACAGGGTGTCCATCTATAAATTGACACATTTTAACAAATTATAACTCGAGAATTAAAAAAGATATCGAGATGCAGTTTTCACTAGACCTTCTACATTTACATCAAGTTTTTCTTGACATTGTTGCCAAATGTATTTTTTTTTTTCTGGAAAGTACCGAAAAAAAAACGAACTTTTTTGAATCAAAATTGTGAGCTTATTTTAAATAGAACACCCTATAATTTTTAACATCGTCAGAAAGAACATTTCTTCCCCTTTCCAAAAATGTATACACTGTAAGCATTTACTTTATTTTTTAGGGAAACATTCACTTTTTTATGCAACCATGTCAATAACTTCCAAACGTAAAGTATCACAATTAATTAACTTATATTTTGGGAGTAAGGCAATGTATTGATAAAAGGTTTTCACCAAAATTCTTGGAAATGTTTAAATTTTTTTCTGACATAGTTGCCAAATCTTAAACTTGTAAAGTTTTCGTAAAAAAAAAATTAAATTCAGATTAAGGTCTTATGGCGAATGAAACATTTCGTATCTCTCATAGTCATTAGATAGTTTATTTCCTCGCCTTTTAAAAAAAATCAATTTTTTATAATTTTTTTATTGCTTTAATAGGTTTTAATTTTAGGTAATTAAATTAATTAAATCTATTACATTTTGGTGGCACATATTGAAATATAAATTGACGTTTTACATCAAACGATCATTGATAAGATACTGTTTTTCATTGCCTTGTCCCTTAGGTATAAATTTCAGAATAATATCAAGTAATGATATTTTACTTATAAAGACAGAGGGAAGCACCTCACACCACACGGATTTTTGTAGCGTAAGTGGTGTCCCACCATGTTGGTACCTATCTGAATTTTTATTGAATACAAAAAATATGTACTAAAGCATTAATAAATTAATTGTTGAATATGGCCTCCATTTTGTTCAATACATGTATGCAGACGCATCAAAAAATTTGTAAATGCATTTTGCAGCATTTCTGGGGTAATTGTATTAAACACATGAATTACATTATTCCTCAGTTTAGTTAAGTTTGTAGGTGTTGGATCGTAGCATCTTTCCTTAACATACTCCCATATAAAAAATCTGGTATAGTTAAATCCGGAGAATATGGAGCCCATTCGATGGTACCAGCCCAAAGGTTGAGTTCAAAGAATTCCTGGTTACAAGAAAGTAATGCGGTGGAGCACCATCTTGCTGGAAATATACAGTATTTAGTATTTCTTCTTGATCTAGTTGAGGATAAAAGAATAGTTCTAGCATATCCGTGTAATTGTTTCTATATACTGTTTCCTCTTGAAAGAAAAATGGTCCATAAATTTTGGTTTTGGACACACCACACCATACATTTACCTTGGGAGCATCTCTTTCAAACTCGTTGAAAGCTCTAGGATTTTCGTCACCCCAAATCCTACAATTGTGTTTGTTTACGCGTCCACTTAAATGAAACGTTGCTTCATCTGACATTATTAGATTTACATTTGGTTGATGTCTTAATAAATCTAATAACGTCTCACACATAAAAACTCTCTTTTCAAATGCATGATTTTCAATTTTATGAAAAGTCTGAACCTTATATGCTTTAAACTTGATTACTTTTAAAATTTTATGCACCTTACTTTTTGACATATGTATGGATTGGGCAATTTTTCTAATAGATATTTTATTATTGTTTCTTGCTATAATTTCGCTTATCTGTATAACATCATTTAAAATAATATCTTGAGCGTTTTCAATTTGTCTTTTTTTTCTATCTAATGTTCCCGTTTCTCTAAACTGACTTACCCAGTTTCAAATAGAATTTCTCGTTGGCGAATTTTTTTCAAACATATTTCTAAATTTTCTTTGTGTATGTGTAATTGATCTACTTTCAATATAAAGTAAAACGCACCGGGCTTTTTCATTTTTGGTAAACATTTTTTAATACCTGCTTTCTCTTGCACTAATTAATACAAATATAGACTTCTGTCAACTCGATTTGTTTTACATAAATAATTAGTAGTATCATTTATTGACTCATTCATATTCTATCCAAAGCTGAGTAAGTTAATTTACAAAAAGAGGAATATTAAATATACAAAAAAAAACAGATATAGGTACATATTGAAAACGCTTAAGACATTCTTTTAAATGATGATTTATGGATAAAGGCTTGCAAATAAACGTTACAAATACGAAGAATATTATTCATCATAAGCCCTTAATCTGAATTGGTAAAAGTAATCTTTTACGAAAATTTTAGACATTTGAGACATTACAACCATTTTATAAAAAAAATTAAACATTTCCCAGAATTTTATTTAAAACCTCTTATCAATAAATTGTCAGATTATCGAGTTAAAGGCTTTTAAATTGTGATACTTTACGTTTAGAAGTTATCGACATAGTTTCATAAAAAAGTAAATTTTTCCCAAAAAAATTGAATAAACTTACAATGAATACATTTTTGGAAAGGGAAAGAAATGGTCTTTCCGAGGATGTTAAAAATTATATGGTGTTCTATTTAAAATAAGCTCACAATTTTGATTCAAAAAAGTTCGTTTTTTTTTCGGCACTTTCCAGAAAAAAATTACATGTGGCAACAATGTCAAGAAAAACTTGAAGTAAATGTAAAAGGTCTACTGTCTGCACCTGTCTGCACTTGTCTGCACATAGGACGGCATTACGCTATCGCATAAAAGATGTTGTATTGTTTTTATTATTATTAATATTATTAATATTTAGAAGTGGGCGTTAACATAAGTCATAGATAAATTTTTCTTTATAATTGAATTTAAAACTGGGCAAGCATTATATGGAAATAATAATATATTATTACAATTTATATAGGTAAATTTCAAAACTTATTAAGCATATAGAATCTTACCTTTGAAAGCCTCCTAATTTGAAATATACATTTTTCTAAATCCTGACCAACTTCCAATTCAAAAGCTCGATCAGTAATATATCTATCGCAAATTGGAAACGGCCTTAGCGTCGTAGTGGTGGTAAAATCAGGGCGAATAGTAGTATAATCTGGATTCGTTTGACAGTGTAATTGTCTGTATGTACCAAAGAAACCGCGTCCGCAGAAAAATGTATCTGTTACGAATATCATATCGACGTGATTTTTGTAGGTTAAATCAAATGTTACTGAAAAAAAAAAAAAAAAAATAATAATAAAAATAAGTTGAGTAAAATATCATTAGAAAATAATCAGAGTGGTAGAAGCCTATCAATGGACAATTTTAAAAATAAGGTTATTTCTCGGCGATATTATTAATCTGCAGGGCTTTAAAGAGCTGAAAGCTGTTCCTAGATACTATTTAGCGACTTGTCAACCAGCAGGCTTTTTGACCAGCTGAGTGAATTCTTTTTTAGCTATTTTCTATAATATATAATCCAAGAGGCAGTATAGTTAAAATATTCATTGTTTCTAATATTATCCATGACGGTACTACAATATTAATTTACCTAAGCAATAAAATTATTAAATTTTTCGATTTTTGTTGAAAAAGCACGTCATTTACAGTTTAATAAATAAATACAAACGAATCAGTCTAATGGATAGATTTTTAGTGCCATCTCTGCTACAATACCTTTACTCATCAAATCAAGGGGTTATTTTATTACAGATGTAATATATGTTATTTTAATATTAAATCGATTTAATTGTTAATTTGTCACCATTTGCCAATTGTTTATTTTTTACTTGCTTTGTGATCCATTAATTATTTAGGTGTAATAAGACTAATTACTGACTAATAAAAATCAGTATTTTTTTACAGTTTCCTCCACTCTTAGGACATTTGAAATCCATTCTAAATCCATTCTAAATCCATTCTAAATCCATTCTAAATCCATTCTAAATCCATTCTAAATCCATTCTAAATCCATTCTAAATCCATTCTAAATCCATTCTAAATCCATTCTAAATCCATTCTAAATCCATTCTAAATCCATTCTAATTCCATTCTAAATCCATTCTAAATCCATTCTAAATCCATTCTAAATCCATTCTAAATCCATTCTAAATCCATTCTAAATCCATTCTAAATCCATTCTAAATCCATTCTAAATCCATTCTAAATCCATTCTAAATCCATTCTAAATCCATTCTAAATCCATTCTAAATCCATTCTAAATCCATTCTAAATCCATTCTAAATCCATTCTAAATCCATTCTAAATCCATTCTAAATCCATTCTAAATCCATTCTAAATCCATTCTAAATCCATTCTAAATCCATTCTAAATCCATTCTAAATCCATTCTAAATCCATTCTAAATCCATTCTAAATCCATTCTAAATCCATTCTAAATCCATTCTAAATCCATTCTAAATCCATTCTAAATCCATTCTAAATCCATTCTAAATCCATTCTAAATCCATTCTAAATCCATTCTAAATCCATTCTAAATCCATTCTAAATCCATTCTAAATCCATTCTAAATCCATTCTAAATCCATTCTAAATCCATTCTAAATCCATTCTAAATCCATTCTAAATCCATTCTAAATCCATTCTAAATCCATTCTAAATCCATTCTAAATCCATTCTAAATCCATTCTAAATCCATTCTAAATCCATTCTAAATCCATTCTAAATCCATTCTAAATCCATTCTAAATCCATTCTAAATCCATTCTAAATCCATTCTAAATCCATTCTAAATTTATTCTAAATCCATTCTAAATCCATTCTAGATCCATTCTAAATCCATTCTAAATTCGTTTTTACGTCTGTGCATATGCGTACCGGCACGATCGACTTGCGGTTTTCAATTTCTTAGACAATTTCTTCCGATTTTACGAATTTTAGGTTTCATTTTACTGCTATCAATGTTTTGAAAACTCAGTGCATTCCTTATAGAGTTTAAATGTACACTCCAACACCCGTGTACCCTTACTTAATTCACTATATTAATGGCTATGCTTGTCAACTGTGAAACTAGAGATATTTTTTCTACATTGCTGTAATTCTTATCTGTCGAACTATTTGAAAAAATTTGAACGTCAATTTTAGCACAACCTTAAACAAATTTTAAAATGGAACGTGTACCTGAATTTGACATTAGGATTAGGTAAAGAACTCAAATAAATAGCGATCCAAACAAAACTGTTTCTAAAGTTGACCATGACCTACAAAGACAGAGATACGAGTCATGTCCATGATAACCACGCCCTGCTCTGAATTAAGGCCAAATTGACACTTTAAAAAGAAGAAGAATTGTATGCTGAACATACGTAAATTCTTCCACGGCCTACTTTAGAAATGGTTTTTGTGGATTAAGAAACCACTTATTTCTACTGAAACAAACTTAAGAGGTAATGGGCCAAATATTATTAGAATGGCAAGCGTACAGTGTAAAACATTTAATTTTTGCTTGGATGGGCTTAATGGTAAAAGGGTTCAAATATTTTTAAATGGCATCAAATGTTTTTAAATAAACAGGCTTAAGGGTTAAATTGCCCAAATATTTTTACATGCATTATTATCGAAAACAGTTGAAATTATTGAATTTAAATAAATATAATAATTTTACACAAAAATGATATTTATATCATATTTCCTTATCAAAATTACTATACTCTGTTTTAAAACTAGGAGGAACGATTTGAATTTAAGTTGGCAATTATGTAGACTTCTGATTGGTCAGATTGCAGCCAGTTTCACACATCACTTTTTAGCATGAACATCAGCTAATAATTGATATTGTTGACAGTTCTGACATTTAATATTTTGATATCTCATCATTATTACTTAGTTTTTATAAATAATAGTTCTTTTCAGAACTTCAGTAAGCAATTGTATTGAATTTCTACGATTATGGATCCTTCTTCATTGAGTACTATTAAGGGTAGCAATTCCTGAAAAGCCTTATAAGGAAGGGAAAACTAATTATTATTTTACATGCTGATTATGAAGAAGGTTTTTAGAAAATATTTTAATGATTTTAAAGCCAAAAAGACGGAAGATTACTATGAAAAGATGAATTCCCAAGTATTTAAAAAAAAACTATCAACTTTATTACTGATTTTTTAAAACTAAAAATTGATAAATTTTTTACCAAAATGATTAAAAAGTAAATAAATATTCAAGTAAATATTATTTATTAGAAAATAATAAAACCATTTATAAAATTGTTAATTCACATTTAAAACACCATCTACTATATTAGATAAAATCTTAATTTAGCATAATGAGCTAACATTCCACAACAAATATAAAAATATACACTTAACATTAATACATATGTATGTATGAATAGTCACTTTAAATTAAAAAATATAGGTAAAATTTACAACTTGAGTTTAAAGGACCTACAATATTATTAAGTTTTATTAATAATACAATGTTGACATGTGAATGAAAATGTTGGTTTCAGTTTTCAAAACAAATCTTGACTTATAGGCCTGTAAACTTTTAAATGCCTTCATTTGCCCTTTAGCCTATTAACTATGGGTTAACAATAAATAAGATACAATGTCCATATTACTCATAGGAGAATTCCAGTTACTGTGTGATCCAGTTGCCATTCACTGATTACCTTTTAATTTACAAATATATCATTAAAAAGGAAAACCGATCATAATTTTATGTTTTATATTAACCTGCATCTCGATATTCTTTTATAAATACTCAATATTAATTTAAAAAAAATCATAACCCTCAAATAGTCGATTTCAAAAGCAACAAAAACAAATAAAACGCGATGCTAAGGTTTGGTATGTCTAAAGGGTTGCGACATACGATGTAGTCTCTCTACAATACGTTAAATCAATAATAATGGATTACATTTAAATATTTTATGTCGTATACAATAAAAATATTATTTAAAAAAAAAACACTTATACATTTTCTATCAATTGGCATGTTTGGCGACTACTATTTCAAATAAAAATACCGTCCAAGATGTGGGGCTATGCCGCAGCCCCCTTAGATTTACGAGCCCTTTCCACTGGCAGTTATTGTTGACAGGTCGTTGGAGTGCCTGATTAAATTTCATTTGACAGTGACAGTTCGTTTTAGACCCAGTTTTCAGATCACAATAAAGTGAAATTTACGACCGTTGTATGGAACCAATAAAAACATCGACTCCTATGGCATTTATTTGTTCCTTAACTACTCATTGACCGTTTGCCGACTAGAGTCGATAATAACTATTACATAAATTTTGAAAATTACTATATTTCGGAACATGCTCTTAGTAACGAATCTAGTTACTTCTCCCTGTGTAAATAAATCTTTTCAATTCGCTCCTCTTAGTTTAAAAACAGGGTATAGAAAGTTTCGTCTCAAAAAGGTATGACCTAGTTTTACATTCAGAAATCGTTCATGTGGCACACCCTGTACCAAAATATAAAATAAAAAATCCTTGTCTAAAGATATGTTGTGAAATTATTAGGTACCAAAAATCTAAAGAAATATTTTAACTTTAACAATCTACAGCAACATTTTATCAAGGCATGTTTTGTCCAGTTCTCATATGTTGGTCCAAAAGAACCAAAAAACTACTCTATAACCTAATATTTATAACCCTGTATATTGAATAAATATAATAAAGATAGAGATATTTAGGTACTATGATTTTTTTTTCAAATTAGCTTAAAAATTAAATAGCATAAATTGTTAGCCTCTAAAATGTTTCCTAAAAATGAGATAATAGGTAACAATGCAATATAATACGTTGGAAATTCCAATAGGTGAAAACAAATACTTACAATATTGTCCAAAGAGTCTCTTTCCGCAATATTTATTCCCATTTTCCAATAAAATATAATCTTTATGACATCCATAACTGTTTTCTATTTTAAAGTCGGCCATGAACAATCGAACACCGCAATATCCTGTTTGCTTTCTGAATCTGTAAAGGATGAATCATTTTTTAAGGTCGATTTGTGTCAATATTTGGAATAATAGGTAGGAACTTGTTAAATGTCGAATATTATGAGCAGGTATATTTTAATTAAATTAATAAAAACTAATCCTGACATTTGTGGTATTCCAGACTTTAAACACTGAGCCATTCACCCCATGGCAAATAGGTATTAGACTTAAATTCCTTTATAAGGAAAGAAAACCCGAAGCCATTTACCATGAGTTTTTAATGTTGTTTATACAATGGGATTAGGCGGCTACTAGTTTCGGCCTCAATGGGCCATCATCAAACCTAAATATTTGTAATCATTCTGCAAATTCAGAATTTGTCGAATGTATTGCGGTAATTAAAATATATTTAATAAAATCTAAAAATTAAACTTGAAATTAAACCAAACCATGGCAACGTAATGACAAATTTGAGAAGGAGATTGAGAATTAGAGAGGTAAAATTCGGTGAGGTGGGAAAACAGATATCTCGAGTTATATCAAGAACAATTAAGAGAAGTAGGTAGAAATTAGTTAATAGAACCAATTTCTGGTATCCTAAAACAGAAAATAAAAATTGAAAAAACTATCAAGAATTGGTTCTATGAGCTAATGGAAGAAAAGAGTGTATCAGACGAAGGTAAAAAGAGAAGAATGTACAAGTATAGATTATCAGCCGAAAAATCGTTAGAGTCACAGTGTAGTCTTCAACACTTAACAGGTTTAGAGACAAATATTTGTTTTTATTGCTTTCTGGTTAAAAGAACGAGAGTGTAGAAGAGGTACGCATTTGGGTCTGAAAAATTATTGAAATAAAGGGTCGACAGATGGAGAGCCCTTCATGCGTCAGCAAGGCTAGATACAAGAGGGTGTCGACAGGTTATAGGAATGTTTCCTGTCTCTTTTACTCCTGCGACAATTCATCTATACGTACGTTACTTTACACCTCAGATTGGGGGAGTTGATTCGCAGCAATAGCCTTTGCTAAAGATTTTGAGGGCTTTTGGTCTTTCTTACTCTACTTATGTCTATCACTAATCAGATAATACTGGCCGTTCTCCTATCCTTCATCCGAAAACCGCCTGGTTGGCACTTAACCGCTTAACCTTGGTTAATGTAGAGACGTGCGGAGTTGTCAAAATACAGGGTGTCTCAACATTCTATGTACGTAGACCTACTTATGTTGGTGAGATCAAAATAAGTAGATTGATCCAAAATTACCTATATCACAAAGTGCTTTGTTTGTCTACACCAACTAAAATCATGGAAGGGTGAAAACCACCCTAATCCTACCATTAATAACATCGTATTTTTTTTGAGGTTGGTTCCTGTCCCTCAATTTTTTTTATTGAGAGCTGTATTCACTTGTAGCATTTTTTGTCTGTTGCAAAAAATATGTATCTTTAATGGTATTTAAGTAAAAAAAATTTTTATGGGCTGATGGTTATTGACTTAAAATTTTCAAGATTGGCGATTATAACTACCGCAACCCAAAACTGTCGATTTTAAAGTTATTACAATAAAAAAGTCATCAATAGGCATAGATATCTACTGAAACATAACAATTCAAAAAGAAAGATAATTTTGTTTACAATAAATGTTCAATATGGCCACCTTCTTCGTTCATGCAGATTTTAATTGAAGTATACCCTTCTCAAAATGCCTAGATCATTTCGCATAGAGTACCCTATTATTGTTCAGTGTTGTCGATAGACCCTCAGATATATTAAAAAAAAATCATCAATAGGCATAGGTATCAACTAAAATAGTATATTGTTTCACGAGTGACGAAAAAAATGATTTTCGACGAGTTAAACACTATACTTTTTCTACGAACTCTATTATGTCATGTAGGTACCTACTAAAATGAAAAAAAAAAAACAAACGTTAGCAAATGCTTTAATTTGTGTTAGGAATAACAAAAAATTAACCAACAATTAAATATTTCAGAAATATTATTTATTATTTAAATATTGATTTATTGTTATATTTGAACAATTGTTCAAAATTATGGGGGTATCACACTCAAGCTTTTTATTTATTGAGGTAGATGCCGACATATTTGTTCTACTGTTAAATGTCATTTCAGATAATGATGCGCCATAATCGGATGAACTAGTAGTTTCCTCATTTTCTACAGATTGTAAAATTTTGGTTTGTATTTGGTTTTTACTGTTCGTGGATTCATCAACATATCCTTCTGCAACACTACTAGATTTCCAACCACCGTACTTTTTTAACAGAAGCAAGTCACCTCCTGCATCCACTAATAGCGTTGCGGATGTTCTGCGGAAACAGTGCCCAGTGTAATCTTGAGGATTCGGAAGCGTTAAAAACTGAGAAATTTCGTTAGGAAATTTACTGATTTTATTAATTCCAACAACCTGTCTGCTACAGATAAAAAAAGTTTAATAATTTGGTGCTTTCTTGATGCGTCGTTTTATGATTTCACTTTGTATATGTTTAGGTACAGCTAATTATTATTATTATTATTACTGGCAGCTTATTTTACATCATTAAAATAATATTTTGTTAATCCAAAAAAGGCAAACAAAAAAGCCATGTCACATACAGTGTAATAATAAAAATTAGATATATAAATATAGTATATTATGTACCAACGGACTAAACTTTCACTTTTAATCCCGCCTTTTTGTCATAAAAGTATTTCTAAAATTTTTACCAGTGACGTCCGTACCGGGTTTGAACTGAATATTTTTGAAGAAAAATATGGTACGCCACTGCTTTTTCTAAAAACCAAAATTATCTTTAAAATCTTATTTAGTTTGGAGCAAATTTGGTTTATAAATGCATTTTCGTACGACGCAACCTTTTCGCGTAAGAAAATAAAAACCAAAACATTTTTTTTAAGTTTATTAAAACTGCTTTTGATATTTTGTTGTATCGGCACTAAATTAATAAATACCCTGTATTAATTGATATTACCTTATTCGAAACAATCGTCTATTTTTTCGTTATTTGTATATTGGTTTTATTTTGCCCATCTTTCACAACTCTATGCTTCTAAATGTAATTTAATCTAACTAAAGCTATTCACTAAATTAAAATATAAAAATAATGTAAAACCGTCTAATAAATCGAACTGCGTTATAACAATATCTCACAATGCAGCAAGAAAAACAAATACGATTCTGGTTTCCCTAATTTAGGTAACTCTGACTCACTCAATGATGAACGTCGGCAGCCGTGGCAGGATTTTTCGGTTCCTTTGTCTCCTCAACTACGCGCGTTAGAGTTTAGAATATGTATCCCTCGTATCTATATGCAATTGTTAAAATTAAGAATGAATGCGGATTTTGTTTAGTCTCGGAAGTAAGTTTGTTGTATTTAGGCTCCACCCTCAAGTTGTAATTTTTATAGCTACTAAACTACCGTTTCCCCGCAGGTCTTTCAGTTTGTAATGTAAATTTTCCTCTTAAGATAAATTAATAAATCAATACTTTTTAAATGCAAATTAATAGTCATGAATGTCTAAAATTAAAAAGAAATTTTTTTCGTGAAATAATGTGATAATGGTCTGTATACACCAGATATTAAATTATTGCTTATTATTAAGAATAATTTAATCTAATATTCCTTTTATTAATACATTTTTACTTCCTTACATAAAAAATTATTTTTATTTTTAACGTTCAATTGAATGTTTAGGGTGGGGGCGTGAAAACATCGCCATCAAATACGAGTAGTATAGATTTTCACATTAAAGTGACCTCGTTGTAAAATTTGCAACTGGGTTAAACGATAGGGTAATATATTTTTCTACTTTTTTATCATGACTCACAACTAAACTATATTGCAAGACGTCATATCAACTAAAACCTTTATAAATTTAGACACTGCACTAATCTAAAGAGTACACGACAATTTTGTTTTTTGGAGAATATATAAATAAAACTGTTTTTCTTTGTAAAACCTGTTTCACGCCATACCACTAAGAATAAAAATTTATTAATGAAAGATAAAATTACTCGTCGTATTGCTTTTTAAAGGTTTCGAATAAAGGTTTCTTTTAAATATAGCGTCAAAGTGTTTACGGTTCCAAATGGGTTGCAAATCCAGTAACTATAAATTTGTCTTTAAAATACTATTTGATATTGCTTTATTAAACCCTTGTAAGTATCTACAAATAAGATTTAATATATTTTGCGGCACATTAATAAAGCATTTAAAAGGGAACTAAAAAACTTTTTTGATTTATAATTTGGTGCCCTATTTAAGTTTATAAGAGTTGAGTAAAGCCTGTAAGAATATCATTATAAATCTTATTCTCTTATAAACATTTGCTTTAAGAATATACTTGGGGGTATTATTGACACCTACTTGATTGGTTCATTTAGATTGTCAGATTGTCTTAATGTGACAGTTACTTGTATTTTCTACATCAAGATTTGCCTTAACTATTAGAAGACTTACCGCTCAATTTACACCGTGATATGTTTTTCATGCACGATGGTGCACCACCTTATTTTTTCTGCATTGTGAGAGATCATTTAAAGGAACAATACCACAGAAGATGAATTGACAGAAGTCGGGATGCTTCTATTCAGTGGCCACCGGACTCGATCACCGGACTGTAATCCTTGTGAATATTTTATCTGGGGTCACTTGAAAACCGAAGTTTATGAAAGTTCCTATCGACAACATTAAACAATTATGGGGTGAGATTCAAAATGTTGTAAACTCTAGGCGAAATGATCTTGGCATTTTGAGAAGGGCACACACTTCAATTTCTTGCGCCAAATTGAAATCTGCATGAACGAAGGAGGTGGCCTTGTTGAACATTTATTGTAAAAAAATGTAACCTTCTCTTTTAATTGTTATTATTCAGTAGATATCGATGCATATTGATGATTTTTTGCATTGTAATAATTTTAAAATCAACAGTGTTCGGGTTGCGGTAGTTATAATCGTTATTTAGTATTCTTAAAAATTTTAAATCACTAACCATCAGTCCTTAATTTTTTTTACTTAACACCT